TTTGCTTTCCTCTTGGTTAAAATTCCTAAATTCTCAAGTTAAAGGCTGTACACATCAGAATCTTAAAAATTACTCATTTGAGACATACAATGAGCTGTTTATTCTGTGTGCAGTAGGAAGACAGCTTGGAAAAAATGAATGTCAGATTTCTGGAAGCTTTAAACATTGTTTCCCAATTCAATTGTTTTGTGATAAATGTTACAAGTTTACAAATAGGTTACAAAATGGTGTCAAGGAAGAAATGTAGATCAGTCTTCAGCAGTATTTGATTAGCATCCTTTTACATTTCCACTAACAGCAGCCATGATGATGTGACTTAAGAACAATTCCAGGATTAAAAGGAGTTTCTGAGCTGCAGAGATGTCTCAAGTGTACATAGTGTTATGCAGTTACATAGGACAGATTTCACATCTTCTACTGGAATACATGTGGCAAGAATGAGGCATAAAATTACTATTTAACATTGTTTTGTTTATGGGATTCAGTAGGACTGTGTTTACCTTCAAACACTAGGGGTGCATGAGATACAACTCCATAGCCCACCTTTCTGGTCACCTCCATTTACAGATAGAGGTCTAGAGCATGGATATTTTCTTTGAAAAGGAATCAGTTGTATCTAGAAGATAATTTGAACAGTGTAGGGATCACTTTGAGTTATTTTTGTGGGTGTTGTGATGTTTCTGTTTATTTAATTTCTATATGTATACTATCATAGGTAACATTAGTCTACTTCAGATTGTTCTTGGTTGAGTTTCCTTAGGTATCTTGATGAAATCTTGACTATATTTTTGGGCTTATATTCTTGGCATTTTTGCTTTATTCTTTCACAAAAATTGTGCACAATTTTCGTTGTTTTGGTTGTAAAGTAAGTACAGAAGTCATATTTTGTCTCTGTATGTAATACATCTTCATAATCCTGCTGAGAATTCTGAAGTTTATTTGTTTTTGTTTTTTTGCACATGGTAAATTCAGTTGGCAGTATGCCATCATAAAATGGCTTGTTGCCACCTTCCAAAGAGCATGCATGGGCTAAACATAGGCACCATATGCATATCTAGCTGATGGGCTGCTGTGTCTTCATGTTGGTCACCTAGCATTTGAAATGGGAGCTGTCTGTGACATGGACACAGTTGCCTTTTTATGAGTCACTTTACCCTAGCTGAGCTACCTTGTCTGGCCTCAGTGGAAGAGGATGCACTTAGTTCATATGTAACTTGATGTGTTGAAGAGAGTTGATATGGGGAGGCTCCCCTTCTCTGAGAAGAAGGGGAGGAGGGGTATGGGGAGAGAGGAAAGGATGTAACTAATGAGAAAATGGCTGGTTTCTGTATAAGTTCGAGATTTTGTTGATTAATGATTTCTATAGATGTCTCTTCAATTGAGGGTGACAGTATCCCTGAGCAAGTGGCCCTGGGCTGGATAAGAAAACTAGGTGAGCATGAGACAATGAAGAAACAAGAGAGCAAAGCAGGAAACAATATTTGCCATGATTTTTGCCTAAGTTTTCTTGAAACTTGAGATTCTATCCTAGGATTCCAAAATGATGGAGTCTGATCTGACAGGACCAAACAAGTAAACTCATTCATAACCTGAGGTGTTTGTGGTTAGGGGATTCAATCAGAGCACAGTAGCAGATTAGGAGAAAAAAGAAAAGGTATGCCAAAAGTGACCTTGCTCCTGGAAAGACCTGAGAACACTCTCTTTTTTGAGGAATGTGAGATGGCAAAAAATCCAGACCTTAATTGGCTCTTCTTGTAGTACCTGGAAGTTCAGAATGTTGAGTGTAGTACATACAGAGGAAGAATTCAGTGGAAAATAGGCTCCATGAAAAATTAAGCTAGAGGTCATTTGTGTGGTATTTTGGCCTCAGATCTTTTTCATTCTACTCATGATCTAAAAAATTAAGTAAGGGAGAGTTAAATTTTGGAGACTGATTTCTTAGACGGTGATGTTTGTTTTCATACCTGGCTTGGATGTTAGTAATTAGTCAAAGCTACTTTTGAATTCTTGATTCTCATGTGTCAGCTTTGTGCGTACAAGTGCAAGGATGGAAGATGTACTGTACACCCAATGTGTTCCGTTTTGTCAACATATTTTACCAATGTTTATATTAAAATGCTTAATAGAAGGTATGTATGTATGTATGTATGTATTATTTGAAGTTACATGCTTCTTTATGTTCTCATTAGTTACTCTGTGGCACATCATGCTGAAGTTCTGCATTGTAAGAGAATTTTCTAGAGGTTCTATATAATGCCACAACAATGAGATTTGTTTCAAAGAAAGCATGTTATATGTGTAATATGACTGTGTTCTTAGGCTATGACAGATATATGAAGATTTAATGACAGTTTTGGGGGTTTCTTTTGACCATTCTAATTTGATGGTCAAGGTGATGTTGCCAGTTTTCACTCTGGATATTTCAGAGAATGTGTTAATATTAATCTTTTTTTCACTTTTATTTATTACATTTATTTCATATCCCACCTATAGCCCCCTCCTTTATCCCTTCTCAAGCATACTGTCTATTTCTCTGAGTGTATTAAAATTTTTAAAGAGGTTAGTTTGGTTTTTGACTTTACATCCACAGGGCAATCCCTCCTTCCTCTGCTCTCAGTCCACCCTCACCCTTCTTTCTCCCCTCCCAGAAAAATGGAGCCCTAGTCTCCCTGTATCACCCCATTGCAGCACATCAAGTCACATCAGGACTGAGCATATCCTCATTGACTAAGACCAGTCAAGGCACGCCTGACAGGGGGAAAGGATCTAAAAGCAGGCAGTAGAGTTCACATTAGGAACAGTCCCCTCCACTTACCACTCAATCCACATGGACCAAACTGCCCTATAAGTCCAAGAGGCCTACGTCCAGAACATGCATGCTCCTTAGTTGATATCTCATTTTCTATAAGCTCCCCTCTCCCGGGTCTGGTTTACTTGTTGCAGTTGGTCTTCTTATGGCTTTCTATCACCTTCAGGTTCTTCCATCATTCCCCCAGTACTTCCATAAGACTCCCAGAGATCCACCCCATGCTTGGTTGCAAGTTCCAGCATCTGTCTCCAATTGCTGCTGGGTGGAGCCTCTGAGATAACAGGCATGTTTAGGCTGTTTTCTACAAGCTCAGCAAAGCAACATTTACAATATAATTGGCTGGTTCTCTAGTGTAAAGTAGGTCTCAGGTTGGCCCAATTATTGTTTGGATTTTCGCTCAGTCTTTGTTCAATCATTATGCCTACACTTATTGTAGGCAGTGTAATTTTTGGATCATGGGTTTTGTGGTCCAGTTGTTCCTTCTCTCCACTAGTCCTGACTGGCTAGAAGGTACTCACTTCATTTTCCATGTCTCTTTTCCCCTGCTCCTCCCTTAGGAGTCTCAGCTAGAGTCACACCCATGTCCTCTCAGGAACCTTCCCTGTCAAATGACTCCAAAGAGAAACCCCCTCAGTTTCCCTTCTTGTTCTCAGCCCTCTTACCTCCTACTATAATTCTCCCTATATCTGATATCCACATTTGTTTCCCTCCCCATTCCAACTTCTACCTAGTTCCTTCTCTTCATCCATTTCTGCTGTTTTCTGAGTGACATTCTGTCAACATCCCATGGACCCTCCTTGTTACTTAGCTTCTTTGGGTGTGTGCATTATAGTATGCTTATCCTGTACTATAGGTCTAATATCTGCTTATAAGCAGTGTGTTTCTTTCTGTGTCTGGGTTACCTCTCTCAGGATGATCTTTTCTAATTCAATCCATTTGCCTGCAATTTCCGTGATTTCTTATTTTTAATAACTGAGAGTCATTTTGATTTCCATTTGTCTGATGGCTAAGGACTTTGATCATTTCTTTAAGTGTTTCTCAGCCATTTGAGATTCCTCTGTTGTGAATTTGCAGTTTACTCTGAACCACAAATAGGTTTATTTGATTTGTTGGTGTTTAATTTCTTAAGTTCTTTGTATACTTTGGATATTGCCTTTCTGTCTGATGTAGGGTTGGTGTAGATATTTTCCCAATCTGTTGACTGATATTTAGTTCTATTAATAGAGTCCTTTGACTTATAGAAGCTTTTCAGTTTCTTGAGATCCCATTTATTAATTGTTGATCTCAGAGCCTGTGCGGTAGTTGTTCTCCTGTGTTAATGAGTTCCAGACTTCTCCACCTTCTAAATGATTTAGAGTGTCTAGTTTTATGTGAAGGTCTTTGAACCCCTTGGACATGAGTTTCTGCAGAGTGATACAAAGAGTCTATTTTCATTTTTTACATGCAGACATCTAGTTAAGACTACCACCATTTGTTGAACATGCTGTCTTTTTTCCATTGTATGATTTTCCTTCTTTGCTGAAAGTAAAGTTCCATTAGGAATGTGGGTTTATTTCTTGATCTTATTCCAACTGTACAGGATTGTTCCACTATCAAGGGTATTTTATTTTTCCCTTGAAAATAACTATAATTTCTGACATCTGCTACCACACCTCTCTCCTTTTCACGATTGTTGCTATTCTTTCCTCAATTCAAATAGCAGAATCACACTTTAAATAATTCATTTTAAAAAATATGACTAAAACATCTGTGATAACAAAGTGAAAATGTGTACAGAAGAAAGTCCACTAAGCTTCAACCCTACTTCAAAAAGTCTGTGCCAATGTGAAATTTTGAGAGTAAGAGAAATACCCCTCCCATAGGAAGAGCAGACCAATTGGCTATCAATACCAAATGGACAATCCTGAAAACATATATACAATTAACATTATACTGACTGGGCTGATTATGTAGTTAGGAATATATATACATATACATATATATATATTCATTAAATATATGTATATGTATATACATATATATATATATATATATCCACACACATATATGTGCCTTAATATACATGTATTTGTGTAACAAAAATTAATTAAAAAAGAAGCTATGATTTTAAAAGAGACCAAGTAAGGCAACATGGCAGGATGTATAATGAGAAATAAAATGGGAAATAATGAAATAATTATAAAGCAAAACATAAATCAAAAACTTTTATTTTTGTACAGTAAAGTCTAATCAAAGTGTAGCCTCTAATAGTATGGCAGGCATGAGGGACATACTCACAGGTTATTAGACCCATCCAAAACATCATCGAACAAGGAGAGATGTTGTTTTTTTCTTGTTCTAGGTCTTCTGTGTTTTATGGGGTCTTGGCATAGCAAGGTTTGGTATATTCCATCAGTGGTGAACTCCTCATAGGCCTCCATGTGGGTAAATATGGATTCTCCTGGGACAGGTCTCGACCTAACAGAACAGATATTCAGTAGATAATTACAAGACTGATATCCATACTAAATTTCAAAAGGTGCATAGTTTTAAAACATAGGCTCAATTCCCAAAGCAGGATTCTGTTGAGCTATAAATATACTTAAAATGCAATAGAAAGGAAGAGGTCACTTAGGAAGAGAAGTATTGGGAATAGATTGGAGAAATAGGCTTATTTTTTCCCCAGAAGTGATCAACTGAGAGTCATGAGAAGACTCAAGTTGGAAGAAGTGTAGCTCGTATGATATAGATCAATGGTTAACACTTTAATAATGTTACTCATGTCACAGGATACAACCATAATATTTTATGGTTATTATGGCTTATTATTATAAAATTATTTCATTGATACTTTATAACTGTAATTTTGTTACCGATATGAGTTCTATTCTAAGTCTTTGATAGGAAGATATCAAATATGCCATCTTCAAAAGGTTCAGGACCAACAAGTTGAGAATCACTTGTCCAGAGTGAGGAAGGGGGTGCATGAAGTAATTGTATTTCAACTAAAATCGTTTTTAAAATTTGTGTAATAAAGACTATTCATTATTAATGAAGTTTGCCAATATTATTCATGATTTAAAAATAAAAGCAGGAGGCACATTGCAAAGCATCATATTGGAGAGAAAAAGAAATACTCAAATACTAGAGTGATTCACAAAAAAGACAGATTGATGTCAAACATTAACTGAAGGCCAAAGTAGGCGACACCTAAAAACTGGCCACTGCAGTAGCAATATGGATGTCATTGTTCACACTAATCTAATATGTATGCAATAAGAGGCAAAATACTTGGTGCAAAACATGGTGAAATGTATATTTATCCCCATTTATTAATTCCTAATGCTTTTAACCTATGAAAGTTCCACCTGAAAAAGGCGGCATGTGAACTTTAGAGTGTAACAGATGCAAAAATAATAGGTTTTTCAAGGGAATGTGCTTTACTGAGATAGTCAGAAATCTTCATGCACAAGAAAGTCAGATAGCATTGATGTCTACAGAGGAGGATACTTGCTTATTAGTATATAGGAAAGGTTAAAGACACATAGAATTGTAACTGAAACAACCTGGAAGATACTTGGTAAATATCATGATCAAGTATGTAGTAAACCTTGGACACATGATAATCATGAACAGATCATGTGAAATTAGAATGCCTATTTCTTTAAATGATTGAATTTTGTTGAAAGAAAACGGTACCTTCTGTAAGCTGCATAGTTTAATATGTATAACTTTACAGTATTAAATGAGATAGCAAAACTCTACCAAATTGTAAAGTACTTTATAAAGATTTTCTACTCAGTACTTCTTCTTTCAAATGGCTGAATTATTGGAATGCAGTAAAAAATACTGATATACATCTATGTACTAGCACTGAAACACCATAACTAAAGTCCATTACTTTGTAAGTGAATGTAAAGAGATGTGAAGAAAATAATCAGACAGCAGCCAATGGTTTTCAATAGGCACATAAATGAAAGGTATGTAATGTAAAGGTATGTTAAAAATAGTACCAATTCAGTTTCATGATAACAGAATTGAAAGTAAAAGAGTATGTTTGGAAAACAGTTCTTGTCTAATCTGAATCTATAAAAAATATTGAGATTTAGGTTCCAAGGAACACAAAATATGTCAGACACAATAAAAGTCGGTTGAAAACCAGAGAGCTTTTGAGAATTTAAGGTTGAAATCTGGCACACATTTAAAACAAATCCTTGAAGTCAGGATGAGTACCATAATTAGATGGTACAGAGAATACTCCTCACTCATAACTTGGTTGGATCTAGTTTTGAAGATATACAAACACCTTTTTCCTTTATAGCTCAAAGCATACTTCAGGTGTTTTTTTTTTTTTTCTTTTGGAGAATGGTTCTAAATTGTAATATGAGTAGCTTTTCATGAAGCTGGGTTTACATAATCTGAATGAATCAAGACATAACACTTCCTGAAACCATTAGTCTATCATGAGAACCATAATAGTCATTTCAAAATACCTTTACAGTGGAGCCTGGAATGGAGAACCTTTCACTGGGCACTAAGCAAAAAATAGCCACAGCAGTTTGTAGATGAACTACTGAAGTGTACACATTCTGTAGTAGTCAGGGTGAGAAACCACTGTGATGTCAACATTCCAACTGATAAAGTGACACATGTACTTCATTTCTTTCAAACTGTTGACTTTAAAACATTGATTTTGAATACTTCTTGAACGACATGTGTTTGGACTGACATTTTCACAACCATATATGTGTGTGTGTATGTGTATATAAAAGATATATGATAGAGATGATAGATAACTGATGTTAGAAGGATAGATAACTGAAATTATATGTGAAAAAATAAAAGGAATACTTGTATACAACATCATGACAGACTAGGGTCAAACAGAAGGGGAGGAGGACCTTCCATATCAGTGCACTAGGGAAGGGGGATAGAGGGAGAGGAGAGGAGGGTGGGATTGGGAGATGAGGGAGGGAGCTACAGCTGCAATAAAATTTGAAAAAAATCTAAGAATGATAACAAAAATGAATACTAAAAATCAGTAATATAAAATATAAATCGTGAAATTTATATTCATCTCCAAAAATTATCAATTCCTAATTCTTTTAACCTATTAAAGGTCCATGTGAAATAAGGTAGCATGCAAAATCATTAAGACATCTAACATCTAACATACACAAAAATCGTAGCATACTTTAAAGATGAATGTGCTTTACTGAGATATGGTCAGAGAGCTTCATGCACAGAGAAGTTAGAAAGCTTGGAAGAGTGGAGAGGAATGCACATGCTTATTAGTATATAGTAAATGTTATATATTAATCCTAGATACAGAAAGAATTGTGACTGAAACATGAGAGATACTCCGTATGTTTCATAATAAAGATATGCAGTATACATTGGACATATAATAGTCATGGACAAATCATTCAAAATTAGAATACCTGTCTTTAAAATGACTGTATTTTGGTGATAGTAATAATTTTTGCCTTCTGCACAGTGTGTAATTTCATTACTATGTGTAATTATACAGTCCTCATTAAGATAGCAAAACTCTATCAGACTGTTAGGTTCTTTATTAAGATATTCTGCTGAATAATTACGATTTAAAAAATATGACACATTTGAGTTTGGGAAATAAAAACACATCAGAAGGAAATCTTTGTAGTGCCCCATGGTAACTAACCCCATTATTTTCAAAATAGTAATAAATATGTGTAAAGAAAGTAATCAGGCTGTCCTAATAGTCTAAACTATTTAGGTCCCAAGGAGTGCAAATATCCAAAATACCAGTCCTGGACCTGCTCAACAAGCATTTTCAAAGGAATTCTGGTGATTAGAAAGAAACAAGCAAAAAACCAAACAAACACACATACCAAAAACAGCATTCATCAAGAATTTGTGTAAAAGATCTGGTCCAGCAAAATAGCCATTTTCCTTGCTCCAACAAAAGGGACAAATCGCTCTCTATTGACCTGTAGCTCCTATGAGGATATCAACACCCATGTTGGCCTCCAGGTTCCTTGAAGGGGAAGTAAATGGACTTGTTATACATCTTAAAACACATGTCTAGATTCCTGTGCCTTCCCAAAGAGCCTCATCTCTTTCTGTACTATCCTAATTTCCTGAATAGTCTAGAAATACCCTTTTTTTATACAAATTAATTTAGTTATAAATTTCACATCTTCATCCCAGGCCCCGTCCCTTCTCTCCTCACAGTCCCACCATCATTCTCCCCTCCCCCATTCCCTCTTTGTCTTCAGAGAGGCTCATTGTGTGTAACAACCCACCCTGACACATCATATGAAGTAGGACTAAGAGCTTCCTCTATCACTACTTTTCTCCTAATATTCTCTATTTTCTTCGAGACAGTCTTGGTCATATCAAGTCTGCTTCTTTTTCTCTCTGATCTGAACTCTTCCAGGTGCCTCTGAACATTTTTCTTCTCATCCATAATAAAATTACTCACTGTAATAATGGACCAGCTGCTATTTTGCTGGTTTCTTTGCTGTCCCTGCTCATACAGTTTGAATATTTAAAGTATATATTTTATTAAGTGAATATTACTATGCCCAAGACATGTTACTTCGTTTAAGGAGCCCTGGTCCTAGTGTGGATGGCTCTTCCTCACATGCTGCGGAGGCCCTAGATGGATGAATCCAGGGTCTGGAGAAAGCAGAGCTCTGTCAGCCCTGGAGACCTTGGCTCCCAGCCACACTGTTGTACTCCCCGGCCTCAGGGCATGGAATCTCCTTCCCTAAGAGCTCACATCACCTCCGGCTGCACAGCCTCCCTCCTTCCTTCCCTCTCTCATCCCTTCCTTCGCTTGCTTTCTCCCTTTCTTTCCTCCTTCCCTCCCTCCATTCCTTTCTTCCCTCACTCTTTCCTTCCTTCCCTCCTTCCCTTTCCTCTCTCCCACTTCTTCTTCCCCTCACTGCCTGGACCTGGCTGGCCTGGAACTCTATATACCTGGCTGCCTTCAAATCCATGGAGACCAACCCTCATCTGACATGCGCCCGTAAGTCTGGACCTATATTTCAGGATTTATTTATGTCATTTTGTTGTTTTGTTTTTTTGAGAAAGGGCCTCTCTACACAGCCCTGGCTGTCCTGGACTTGCTCTGTAGACCAGGCTGGCCTTGAACTCACAGAGATGCCCCTGCCTCCACCTCCTTGAGTACTGGAGTCACAGGCGTGCTACACCACCCAACTAATTTATGTATGTACACATGCATGTATGTATGTTATGTAGGGATGTATATATATATATATATACACATCCCTACATACATACTTTTCCACACTCCATATGTGTGCCTCGTGTCTGTGGAAGGTGGAAGAGCATCAGATTCCATGAACCTGCTCATGAGCTGCCAAGGCGGTGTCAGTAACCAAATCCTGAGGCCTAAGTGAATGCTCTAACTGCTGAGCCATCATCATTCCAGGCCCTATACTACTTTTTGTATTATCACACTTGTTATACCTACGTGTGTGCGTGTGTGCGTGTGTGTGAGTGTGTGCGTGCGTGCATGTTCTATCTTCTCAGCTCATCGCATTATTTTTTTGGTGTATGTGGGGGTAAGGTTCTATCATCTGGCTCAGGCTGGCACCAAGCTCGGCAGAGCAATCCCCCTGCTTCAGCCTCCCAAGCCTGGGCATTCCAGGACTGAGCCCACGGCCAACTGTGTAAACTGTGAAGCTGTGTCTGTGCACAGCTGTGTGGGCTGCTGGCTTCAACACGGCACCAAGCTTTCCTGAGGACAAGGATGGCTCGGAGCTACCACCCACCCACCTGCAGGGGGCTGTGCTTCCCTTGTCTTAGGGATTCTTAGGCACTGCGGTAGGGCGGCTCAGTGGATAGTGTATGCATGGCCTGGGCTTCACCCCAGCACTGCCAACTGCCACTGGAGAGACATACCTTGAAATCCTAGATCATCATGGCCCCGTCGATGCCAGTGGTACATAATTTGCGACTGTCCTGCTTGTCCACCTTGTAAATGGACACCTGGCTAAAAGAAGAGCGAGACCATGAGGTCGGTGGAGGGAGTGAGGCCATTCCCCCAAGCCCCGCACCAACAGATGGCTGGGGGTGCACTAGGCTCCAGATTCCTCAGGGCCCCACGAAACCCTGTCCTAGAGTGGGAGGGCTCACTCACCCAGGATGTGGCTCAGCTGGTAAGCACAAGACTACATCAGGCCCTGGCCAGGTCCCCAAAGCCACACACACTGGCTACTGGTGCTTTCATGGAGCCCTAGCTATCTGAAGGTGGAGGCCAGAAGGCTACAAGTTCAAGGTCAGGGGGGCTGCAGGGATGGCTCAGAGGTTGAAAGTGCTGGCTGCTCTTCCAGAGGTCCTGAGTTCAAGTCCCAGCACTCAAAGGGTGGCTCACAGCCATCTGGTGTCAGAGGAGAGGGAGAGAGAGAGGGAGGGAGGGAAAGGGATGGGGATGGAGAGAAAGAGAGAGAGAGGGAGAGAAAGGTAGAGAGAGGAAGGGAGGGAAAGTGAGAGAGAGGAAGGGAGAGAAAGGGAGAAAAGAGAGGGAAAGGGGGAGAGAGAAATGGAGAAAGGAGAGAGGCAGAGAGAGGAAGGGAGAGTGAGAGAAAGAGGGAGAGAGGAGGGAGAAGGAATGGGAAGGTGAGAAAGGGGGAAGGAGGGGAAGGGAGAGGGAGCAGGAAAGGGAGAGAGGAGAGAGGGGGAATGGAGAAGGGAAAGAGGAGGGAGAGGGATACAGGAGAGAGAAGGAGAGCGAGGGAGGGGGAAGGAGAGGGAGGGAAGGCAGCAGGAGGAAGACAGGGAGGGAAGGAGGGAGGAGGAAAGGCCACAGCCTCAGCATGGGGCTGGTAGGGACAGAACAGGGCTCAGCAGATGCGGACACAAAAAAGAACTGCTTTCTCCTTCCAAGCTCAGAAGTGACCTGAGCATGGCTGAAGCCAACCAGTCCCCAACAAGGCCTCTGAGAGCAGCCTGCTGGGGCAGCCCAGAGCCTTCCTGGCTTTTGAAATCGGCCTTCAGCAGTCCCGGGTTCCATCCCAATCCACAACCCCAAAGGAAACAAACAAATAGGGAGACTCCTTACAGAGCATTCACCCCAAAATGCCTGCAGAGCTGGGCAGACAAGGGACACCAGGGTGAGCCAACCTGTCTGCAGAGCTTCCAGAGACAGCCTCCTCCTCCTCAGATGCCAGCCTGCCTGGCCTCGAAGGTTGAGGCCACAGCACAACCCGTGAGAAAGGCCTTTACATACTATTATTTCAGGTTGTTATTAGTTCATTATGCTGTGTGTTTGGTATATAGGTCAGTGGACGACTGTGAGAATCTGTTTTCTTCCTTCTCCATGCAGACTGGGCAGCACGTGCACCTTGTTTGACTGGCACAGGCAAGTGGCACCCTGCGAGTGGGCACACTGTGTGTGCGGGAAACTGTGGAGGGGGGAGGGTGTGAGGGGCATATCCTGGGACTGGCACAGGCAGGTGGCACCCTGAGAAAGGACACACTACAGGAGACTGTGTGCAGGGGAGTGTGTGAGGGGCGCACCCTGGGAATGGCACAAGCAGGTGGCACCCAGCTAGGGTGCACACTGTGGGGAAGTGTGTGCGGGGGAGGATGTGTGAGGCCCTGGGCCCAGCACAGGAGGCATCCCGGGAGGGGCTCACACTCACCTTGGCCACGATGCTGTTCTCCGAGAAGGACAAACTGAGCAGTGGCAGAAACTCCGTCTTCAGAGTCGACACCCTGCGTAGGGGACATGTGCGTCACATGTGGTTCTCCTCCTATGTGAAGAGCACACTGGGGACCAAACTCAGGCAGTGCCACCTTCATGTGAGGGCCCTACCCTTCGGACCAGGCTGGCCTTGAACTCACAATCCCCCTGCCTCAGCTCCCTGGATGCTGGGATCATGGGCCTGCGCTACAGTGCCTGGCTTGTAAGAGTGTATTCACGTGGAGGGGCGAAAGCTTGACACCAAGGTCTCTGACATGACCTCAGTGGCCAGCTCTTTGACCTCCCCCCTACCTGAGGGAGGAGGAGTCTTGCCAGGCCATAGAGGAGGACACTGCAGCCAGTCCTGATGAGACCTGATAGACTAGGGTCAGATGGAAGGGGAGAAGGACCTCTCCTAACAGTGGACTGGAGAAGGAGCAGGGAGGAAATAGGGGAGGAAGGGATGATGGCAAGGGAGGGAGGGAGGGAGGGCATCGGAGGGAGAGAGGATTGGTGGGGAGGAAAGGATGGTGAGGAGGGAGGGATGACAGGGGGAAAGGGATGACGGGAAAAAGGGAGGGGGGCTACAGCTGGGCTACAAAGTAAATAAACTATAATTAATATAAAAAATAAAAGTTTAATTTAAAAACAAAACAAAACACAAACAACCAAAAAACAAAATAAAAGCTTGACACCAGCAAAACTGTCCCAGGGCACAGTTCTGCCATGGTGACTCTTTCATAAGAGAACTAGTAAAGTCAGCACGGGAAGGACCACATCCAAGCTGTCCACACACCACTGCGTCCTCACAGGGTGGCCAGGTGGATGCCATCCCCCGGGCATGTTCCCAGGCTGCCCATGGGAGGGCAAGTGCCAAGGTGCCCGAGAGCGGGTTGCAGGCTTCTCCCTTGCCACGGAGCTACCTTTCACCAGTCTGGTGACAAAGCACCATTCAGGTTCTCCCCAAAGACCTGGGGCATGAAGGCAGGAGGAAGATGGCGCCTCTCCTGTTTAGGGTGGTGTCAAGGGAAGGAGCTGAGTGTGTGTGCACGCTGGGCAGGGGCAGCAGCTTCAGCTCTGGTTTTCTGGGACAGAGACCGGGCTGACCTTGAACTCCTGAGCCTCCTGCTTTCGCCTCCTGGGCCATTACGCTCTGTCCCATCTCCCTGGGGGCTGGTGGGGACCACAGACGTGAGGAGACAGTCAGGTGACTGCGGTGCCATTCCCCCAGCTCCCAGCCATCATCTTCATCAGGGCAGCAGAGACCAGGCCTGCTGGCTACAGGCACTGCCTGATGGGTGGGGGCGGGTTACTGACCCCCAATGGGACTCAGCTCTATCCTGGGCCTCTCGGCCAGCTGTATGCACTCCTCCTAGCTGCAGTGCTCTAGGCTACTATGTCCATAGTATGTGTGGCCAGCTGTATACACTTCCCCTAGCTGCCAAGGAGAGCCAGCATGTCCAGATGGCCAGCTGTATATACTCCCCTAGCTGTATACACTCCCTCTATCTGCCATGGAGAGCAGCACGTACAGACCCGTTTTATACACCCTCCATCCGCAACAGCCATGGTCTAGGAGAGCCAGCATGTTCAGGTGGCCAGCTGTATACACTTCTTTCCCGAGCTGCCATGGAGAGCCAGCATGTACAGATTGCTAGCTGTATAAACTTCCCCTAGCCGACGTGGTCTAGGAGAGCCAGCATGTACAGATCGCTAACTGTATTCCCCTCTGCCCCCACCAGCCAGGCGAGGACTCACTGCACACTCTTGGAGGCGTAGGCCACCGACACCGTGCTGTCCTGGCTGACCCAGGCCAGGTGACTCCTGCTGGCCGAGAAGCTGCAGCCGTGTACCCAGCCGCCGCCGCCAAACTCTGCCATCAGCTGGCCGAAGGGCATCTTGCTGCCCCACAGGGTGCTGACCGGTTCCTGTCCACCTCTTTGATGTAGGCTGAGAACACTCTGTGGTGGAAAGAGTAGGGGAGGAGGCGGAAGGCGGGTTAGGATGGGCGCTTGCTGGACCAGCACGGGGACCCGAGTTCAGATCCGCCATGACCCACAGGGAGCCAGAGATGGCAGCCTGCGCCTGGAAGCCAGGCATGGAGCCAGGTAGACACAGGTCCTGGGCGCACATACACACACACACACACACACAAAGCTAGAGGTGAAGCTACCCAACAAAGGGCTGGCCCCCACCTTGGATCTACTGTCACCTCTGAGGCCTTAGGAGGTTGAGGGACGGGGAAGGGCCGGAATCTGCCTTCTCTGGCCTCTTCTGACTCTCTGGGAAGCATCTGAATGTAGGTGTGACCCCTGGAGGCCAATGAGTCAAGGAGTCAAGGAGGAGGAAGAAGAGGAGGAGGAGGAGGAGAAGGAGGAGTCGTCGTCGAGGAGTAGGAAGAGTTGAAGAGGAGATGGTGAGGAGAAGTTGAGGAGGAGCCAAGGAAGACTTGGGGAGAAGGAGGAGGAAATAGGGGAGGAAAAGGAGGAGTCGAGGAGGAGTAAAGGAGGAAGGAAGAGGAAGGGGAGCCTGAACCTCAATACTCTTTAAACAACTCTGGGCTGCACACCTTTAATCCCAGCGCTCGGGGCGGCAGAGGCAGGGGGATCTCTGTAGGTTCGAGGTCAGCCTGAGCTACAGAGTGACTCAGATAAACCGTTTTCAAAACCAAACCAAAGCAAACCTCCAGCTCCCTAAGCCCAACTTCCAAAGGACAGCAGCAGCTGAGGGTCTGCAGGGTTAGGGGCATTGGCTTCTCCTGCCTGGGGGTCTGTTGGGAGCCATGACTCCAGGGGCCTGCTTTGATATTTAAATCTCGGCGGAGAGATGGCTTTTAGCAGGCCTTTACTAATGGTAGAGAAGAACTTGCAAGTCCATCTCCTTGTGTTTGTGACAGCAAGTGGGATAGCTTGCGAGGGTCACACCTCTTCCTCAGGTTCCCTGTGGAAATTAATCCATTCTTCTGAGATGTTTTACTGGCTAAAAAAATTCCTCACAAATAAAGAGGTCAGAGGGCTGGAGACAGAGGAGGAGGCAGAGACTTGAGACTTGCTGCTTGCGCTGCTTGCTGCAGCAGCCTGCCTTTTGCTGTGGATATCGAGTCTGGACCTTTAAAAAGTTTCCTGTGTGTTGTGTGCTTATTATTAATTTTAATCCTCACTCCCGACTCAAGAACCGTTTGACTCTGCCGGCTGGCTCCAGCAGGGGTCACGGGCAACTGTGCACGTGTCCAGACAGTCCTGTCCTGTCTTATTTGCTGGGAGAGCCAGGGGATCCTGGATAACTAATACACCACAAACTCCGGAGCACAGAGCACTGAGACTACCTTAGCTCCACCTTCACCATCCAGATTTTTCTTTTTAGTTTTTTTGTTCCCATGCTGAGCATTGAACCTGGCACTTTGCTACAGACTCGGCAGATGCTCCACCACTGAGCCACACTGCCTGCATTTACTCATTCATTCATTCATTCATTTTGCTTGCTCATTCATTCATTCATTCATTTAGCTTATTAGGCCTGAATATAAATGACAGGGCTGCTTTTCTGGAAAATTTTCACATGGGCTGGTAGGTCCCAACCTTCCTCGAGCTGTGGTGCCGTGCCCCAGGAAATTATTCCCATTGCTGCTTTGTAACTGCAAGT